AGTTTTTAAGACTAATAAGTCACCTGAATAAAATTTGCTGAACCATCGTTGACGCTTACGAACATTCAAAACATTTCCATAAACTTCTTTGATATTCTTTGTGGCTACAGAGGCATTGTTTCCCTTCTTGTATTCATATAGCAGTATATGTCGAATGTATGTCTTGTCATGTGCCATCACTATAAAGGATTAGAGTATACTAATCTTTACAAATTATATAAGCTACACTAACGTGACATTTAGGCAGTTCATTTAACTATTATACATTATGTACATTTTTTGGGGGATGGTCAATGAAAGTGTTCCAAAAAGTAACATTAATTTCTTGACGACCTAATATAAGCCACTTTATAATATAAATAAAATAAAATATGTGAAACATTCAGAGCATTTTGTAATGGAATACTATAGTTTTATATTGGAATATGGTTATTTGTACCAACAGTCATACGTCCTTGAGAGATCCAACTAAAGAAGGTTAAATAGATCTTGTGAACAATGTCAATGTGTTATATTAAATTAATTCTAGTACTTAAACACATTACACCACATTTCTACAAACATGTTCATTTACATATACACATAATTAACATGTAGACATTTTTTTTAAATAAAATAATTTCTTGAAGTTGAGTTCCCAAGAGTTCATAACACAAAAACGAATATCCACACCTGGGGTGTACAAAGTTATGAATTACCTTTACAACAGATGAAACCTTTGACTGTACACAGCTGTATTTGTCAGATGCTGCAGTAGCCTTAAGTGGCTTCCTTATTTCCTGTTCTCTTTTTCTATGTGTGGCTTGAATTGCTCTTAATTGTTTGATATTTTCTTTTGTGAAATCTTTTGGTGGCTGTTCTAAACGAAAAGAAATAAACAGTTTAAAATTGTGCAGAAAGTCATTGGGCCTTGAAAAGTACTTTTATTTAAAAAAAAACCATCCAAATTAATTGTGCATCATCTCACAATAATCATAACTAAATGCCATCTGTAATATGTTTGTCCAACTAACTAACCGTCTCAGTTACTCTATGTAAGGTCATATAACAATTGCTGCAGAGTGTAATTCATTATAACAAATATCAAGATTAGTCCAGTGTGCATAAAATTACAGGTAACTTATTGTCTGTTTACACAGAAGATATTTAAAGCATGAAAAACTGTATGTGAATTACTAAAAAGACATGTGTCATTTGATGAAAATTATAAAAAAATAACATGGTAATTTTTCTAATGACCTGTTCTGTTTCTAAGTGAAATCTACAGGTTTATTTTCTAAACTTACTTGGTTTAGGTTGTTTTCGAACTGTTTCATTTTCAATATCCATCAGTATCTGGCTCAATGTTGGTGAAAATATCCTTGAGGGACTATAGTAGTCTAGATGCTTTACTTGGTTTTGCTGGGCCATTGCAAGTTTTTAACTGTAAAAGAGTAATAATATAAAGTAAAATTTACACCCACAGTAATAACACCTGCAATTATTTCCAAGAGAACAGTTCTGAGATACTAATAGCTAAACACAAGCAGCTAATTTCAATTTGCTTTGAACAATGTTTAACATAACGTATAGACAACAAATGAAAATTTGATTCTTCGAGGCTGTCTTTGTTTGCCCACCTTTGGGAAAAAATATTTAAACTTACTCTTTACTTTTCATTAATGTTATAATTTTCTTATACTGAAAATGTATTTCCAATAGGTACTTACCCCAACTCACAACATTAGCTATTCTCATTCAGTGCTCCCCCTTGTTAGAATTAGTACATTGCATTGTGTCTCTCATGCAAATCATCATGAATCATCTATTAACCAAGAGTAACATAGTATTTTCACATGACACATGTGACTCACTCAACACTCCTCTTGCAAACCTTCACTTTGAAGTTTGGCAGAAGTGGGGAGGAAGGGTGAGAAGAGGTAAGTACCTATCAGAAATACATTTTCAGTATAGGAAAATTATAAATTCCAATATGGTACTTACCTCTTCTCACAAGATTAGTTAGAATCACACATGGAGGAGGGACCAGTTCAAGGTAATAACAGAAGCACCCCTGAAAGTGTTTGAAGGATACCCCTGACAATGAGAGAAAGAGATCAGGAGATCAGAGGAGGAGAACTATACCACTTCTGAGCCAGGTATACTCTTCACCCTTGTATATAATTCATAAAACACACGGGCAGAATTCGAAAGGTGTAGAGTGGCTAAGGTGCATCGGACCGTGTTCGGCAATTCAACTACATCCAAAACTTCTTCTACGGGGTACCGATATCCACATGAGGGTAGGATGAGGATCATAATGTTTTCACCTACAACCCAAGAACTGGGGATTAAGATCCACTCCAATTCCTGGGTACTACACAAGGATCTATATCCTACAGCAATCTGGGATTGGCCATCTGGCATCTAAAGGACGAATTCAACTTGTGCGAGGATTTATGCTGTAGAGTGATGGATCAACTCCAGTGGTAGTGGATACTGTTGAAGATGTAAATAGTATAAGGAGGCCACATCATCCAGGAAGGTGAAGGATCAACTACTGTGATAGTGTAAATCATATCAGGAGGCCATGTCTAACATCAAGGGGATGGATCAACCACTGTATAGGCTACGTCGCATTTATACCAGCAGAACACCACCACCCTACTCTCAACTGAATGGTTATAACCAATTTGTTAGTGGAAACCATTCAGGATGGTACATCCATGATAAACCACCCCAGGGCTTAGAACTGGAAAGTGGCAAGGACTTCCATACTCCACTCAAGGAAGGGGGGGGGGAAGGAATGCATTGGAGAGTCCAGAGGAATATCATCACCAGTAATAGTGCAATGAGTGACCACGATATCCTATTTTGAAAAGCAGACCATACTGAGTTATTCACTCAAGGCATGGCAGGGATGGGCAGCTATCCCCTTCTGCTTTACTCATGTCATCCATGGGTGGTATGGCCCAAAATGGACCTTCTTACGAAGCAACTATCATGAGATAGATAACCTTCTAGAAATGTTGTGGATCATTCCATCTCCACGATGACCATGTGGAGTCATGGATGAGAAAGCATTAGTCAACATGGCTTACAGTTCGAATTTTATGTGAAAGAATACCTGGTCAGGCACAACTCACCACAGAGTTGGATCCAAGAGACAAAATTCGAAGCAAGGGCCCCTGAAAGAAAAGAAAGCATTAATAAAGACTTACCTAGTGTCATAGCCACACTGAAGTCTGAAGTATAACCACAAGTGGTAGGCAATACCCAGAGGAAGCAGAAACTGTGACATGATGGAAGTTATGGGAAATCAACGTCTAAGGGGTGGTCCACATGCCAGACTGCAGAATCTCCTCCAACAACCGATGAAGACGAGAAGCAAAGGAAAAGGTGAGGTGTCGGATGTGATGGAATGTAGCATGGTACAAAGCATGTTGGGAATGAAACAAAGAGGAAGAAGACAACTGGATTAAATGATGAACCCAAGTGGAAAGGATAAAGGTAGAAAGATCCTGAGAGGAAGAGGGTTGCCATTGGATAAAGAGATGGGAACGAGAACCCCCGAAGGAAGCTGTGAGAGCAATATCACAACAAAGGGCACACACTGGGCATAGAAGTCAATCTGGATCAGGACAAGTGTAAAGATGAGAAACAGAGGGAAAGGAAATGGGCAAAAAGGAGGAGTCACCCTCACAAGATGCCAAGGTCATGGGAAGGAAGGAACGATTCAGATAAAGGAGAAGATAGATTTGGTAAAGTGTGCAGAGTGACGTTGATGGAAAACAGATCAAACTGCCGTCACCTGCAGGCCAAGAGAAGAAGGAAATTTACCTTAAGGGATAGGTGAAAGAAAGAGCATGAGGGAATAGACTCAAACAGAGGTAAAGTAAGGGATTGGAGTACCATGTTAATGTCCCATTCTGGAAGTACTGGGTGTCAAGGCAGCCGATGTATCCGGAAAGAATGAATCAAAATGGCAAGGACAGGGGAAAGAAAGCCTTGCAGTAATAAGAAAAATGGAAAGTATGGTATTGGGCTGCTTAATAACCCAATATCGAGTAGACCAAAGACCCCTTCTCAAAAATCCACATAAGAAACTCGAAGATACCAGCAACTGTAAGATGAGAAGCTGGGATACCCCGAGCTATGGCCCAAGTGTGAAGGGAAGAAGAGCCTCCATTCCAAACACACAAACCACATGTAAACAAATCCAGCACACACCTGCAACTATAAACCCCAGGAATGTACATTTAGACAATATCAGGAAGGTGGAAATGCAATGTGGAGGGTCAATTCCAGTCCAAAGCCAATCAGCATTGGGGAAGTAACATCCAGTCCATGGTAGGAGGAAGTTCCCAGCCCACATACATGTGAGGACATATATTGGCTGGTCCAGTTCCAACCCAAACCAGTTGCCCATAAAACAACATCCACGTGGCAGTAGGAGGGAGGGTTCCTAGCCAGAGGGGGGAAGTGCAAAATAGACTGCAAAATCCAGTCCAGACCGGCAGCATCTGGGAAAACAAATCAGATCCACAACACAATGATAGGCAGAACACCACCACCCTACTCTCATCTGAGTGGAATTGTGCACACTCAGAAGGATTCCTCCATGAGGAAGAAATGTGTTGGAGAATCCGGAGGAATAGATCACCAGAGAAAGTGTATTGGGTGACCATAAAACCCTATTTTGAAAAGCAGACTATTCCTGATTCAGCAATCTAAGGAACATTAGAGATGGCCAACCATCTTTTTCTGCTTTACTTATGTTAGTTCATGAATGTATGGTCCAATACAAACATATTTAATGCAATATGCCGTAAGGAAGAACCCACAAGTGATCTTGTCGAACACCCCATCTCAATAGTGAGTGCGGTAGGCCTTACAGATCTCACTGTGTAGATTTTGGATATCAGTATATCTGGACAGGCACCAATTCCCACAGAGCAGGATCTATAACATGTAAAGTAAGCCCCTGAAAAAATATGGAGAAATGAAATAAAATAATTTACCCACTCAAAGTTGTAACAATGTGTGGAGAATGGCTGCAGAGGGAAGACTATATCCAGTTGAGCAGGAAACCACCAGATGGTGCAAGGAGTGCAACTCAAAAGTATGGGGAGTGGTCCACACGGTGGCCTAGATAATCTTCTCCAAAGGATGACAGAAATGAGCAGCTACGGACAGTGTGAAATGACGAATCTAATAGGATGATACACAGAACAATTGGCAAGATTCAATAGAAAGGGTGGAATATGCAATACAAATAACCTGTCAGACCCAAACGGTAAGGGTGATAGGAGAAATATCATGAGAGATGGACAGATTCCAATGAATAAAAATGAGAAAAGAGCCACAGAAGTATTGGACTGGACACAGGAGACAATCCGTATCAGAGCAGGGGTACTTATGGGTCATGGAAGGAAAGGAAATAACTGTAGAGGAAAACACATGGCAAAAAGGAGAAAAATGAAAGGTATATGAGAGGGCCACCCTATAACTCTCAATGATTGAAAAAAAAACAGAACCAGTAAAAAATCAGAAATCTGAAGGTGAGGAACCATGCTGGATAGACCAATGATGGAATATTCTTCACTTACTTTGACAACCACTGTAGTTGTAATTTTAAATTGTAAATTAATAAATATTGACTGACTACTGGTAATTGAGTGAGAAATAGAATTCACAATCAAATAACGAAATTCAAGTCGACAGTGGATTATAAACAATACTTTCAAATGCAAAAATCAGTAACTGAACATTTTCAAAACGCATTAAAGAAAAAAAAATTTTTGAAATCAAGCACTCGGTCTTAACATTGTTGTGTCAAATCAAGAGTTGGAGATTGGATTAAACTGCATAGAGTGAGTCAGCTGCAATAGATTTTGTCACACTCCTATTGGTAGAGAACTGTGGCATGTTAATTTGCATGCTTAAATGCAGTTGAACCATGTAGTATACACATGGAATTAGGTGAGAGTTTCTAGGCTAGTGGTGAGCAAACATTTGCACACTAGAAGACATCCAAATCAAGAACAGCTATAACTGTGAGTGGAGGTGTTGGAAATGCAAGTATTTATAGTTCTCTTATATACTGGTGTTCACTATTTCGATTAAGAAGAAATTTAGCACAGGTGTAAGAAGTCTTTCCAAAAATCATGTAACAATGTGTTCAAATCTTCTACAAGACTACAAAATCTGTTCCCAGTAAAAAACAAAAGATAATTCCTCAACACAGAAGTTGATTTGTTCATGAATTTCATTGCTCAATGTGTGAGGATGATTATATTGGTTCCATAATAATACTAGGGGAGAGGAAAAAAGTACACAGTAATCAAAAATTCAGAACAATTCAAGTATTCTTCAATACATGCTCAAGAGCTGTGATGTGTTGGTGTCTAACATTTTGTTTAAAATCACTGGAACTGCAGAGAATGAGATGATGTTAATAATTAAAGAGACAACTCTAATTTGGAAAGACAATCCTGCTTTAAACTAACAAACATAAGGTACCTGATGTTTAATTTTCATGAATCTAATGTTATTTTAAAGCCTGGTTAATTGAGATGCAAAGTACAGTCAAACTGGACCCTTGATAATAATGGAGAATTTTAAAGGTCAGTGCTTGGGACTGTGCTTTCTTATTTATATTAATTATAATGATAAAGGCTAGTGCTGTGAATTGGTTAAAACATTATGATAAATAGTTGATTTATCAGAAACAATCAATGATTGATTATAATCACCTAGTTATGTTTGTTTGGAAATGTTTTTCTGTCTCTACAAATTTGACTGTCCAGGATGAAATTGTAGGAAAGAAACATGCAAAAACAATTCATGATTCAAACTTTGTGCATGGATATATTATTCCAATCATTCGTGTTTATTTTGTATATTATGATTCTTAAGCACTGAATTCATCCCACGTTCTTTCAGAGATAATAATTTCCATGAATTGTTTCAGGCCTTTAAATCTGTGATTGCTTACCAATTATCACCACATTGAATATTAAGGACTAAATATTGCCATGACACTTGAACTATGCAAGTCACCTTGCAAAGTTCACAATACAGATATAAGTAATCATTGGCATATGATCTTGTTTTAAAATTGAGTGTTATTTGCTAGTACTACAATTATCAGAATATAAGTTCCAAGCACTTGCTAGTGATGAGAGGGAGCAGGTAAGGGAAACAGATGGGATCACAAGGGATGACTGTGAATGATAGGGAAGTTATAGTTGCAGGTAACTCTAGTTAGGCATGTAGATAAAGTAGTATATGGTGTAAATAGGAGCAAAATAATACACTTATGCTATCCAGGAGCAGGGGTACAGGATATAACTAATAGAACCACAGAGATAGTTAAGGGTGCTAGTAGCAATGCAGTTTTTGTGGTACATGTTGGGGCTAAAGCTGTAAGGAAAGATAGATCTGAGGAGCTTATTGATAAGTATAAAACATTGATAAGGGCATTTAAGGAAAGGAGTCATATCTTATTTTTGTCAAGAATAACTTGTGGGGATGAGATACTAAGTAGGTCACTAGAATTTAATGCCAAGCTTAGATCAATATGTAGGGATGTGCAAATAGGCTGGTTGGATTTCTGGGATAATTTTAATGGGAAAGTTAATCTTTTTGGAATGGATTGCTTACACTTAGACAAGGCAGGGGCTAGCATGTTAGCAAGAGCTATTAAATCAGCTGTAGTGGTTGATTTAAAATAGGGCTAGATGGAGGTGAGTGCTATGATATTAGTAAAACAGGAAATATAATTGACAAGAAAACATGTACAATATGCATAAAACTTGAACATATTTTAAAATGTACAATTAATTGTTACTATTGTAATGCTAGGAGTATTAGAAATAAAATTGACAAGTTCAAAGCAGTTGTGAAAACTAAGACTTTTGATATTATGGGTATCACTGAACAATTTTGATGAGAGAATTTGTTTCAAAATACCATGCTATAGATTATCTATTAGAGATAGAGTATTGAAAAAAGGGGGAGGAGTAGCTTTATATATGAGGAGAGAATTGCATTCTATTGAGTTACAGCATATTAAAGAAAATAGCACTGAAGTTGAGTCACTTTGGGTTAGTGTGAGTGGATATAAAGGGATAAGTCTTGTAATTGGGATTTGTTATAGACCACCACGTCAGAATGTAGAAGTTAATGAGAAACTGTATAATGAGATCAGAATGGTAGCTGAAAAAGACATTATTATGGGAGTGGGATAAGTTTTTGGAAATTGTTCAGGATACTTTTATACACCAACTGGTGATAGAACCTACAAGAGAGGAAGCTTAACGAGACTTAATATTAGCATCCGATGTGAATATGATAGATAGAGTTGTGATTGGTGAGCATTTAAGTACAAGCGTCCATTGCACTATTAGGTTTGGGAATTTACTACATGTAGAATTGAAGGAGAATAGTACCCTGATTCCAAATTTCAGAAAAGCCAATTTTGATTAAATGAGACATGATCTGGCTTCTGTAAATTGTACTAAAGAGTTGGGAGGGGATCTTCAACAGTTGTAGGAATCATTTAGGGAAAAAATGATATGCATACAGAACATACATATTCACTAAAAAACAAAAAGGCAACGGAGCAAAATAAGTAAAGATTTAAGAGATCATATTAGTGATAAACATAATACATTCAAGAAATTTAAACTTAACAGAAATAATAATGACTTGGAGGACTATAGGAAATCACGAAAGCTAGTTAAAAAGGAAAAGGGCAAAAACTGTACATGAAAGAGGGTTGTCTATAAGAGATAAATCAAACAATAAGAAATTCTTTAGGTATATGATGGGTAAGCAAACTGTTATGATGGGAACTGCACCTCTTAAAAATGATAGTGGGGAGCTGATCTCAGAAGATTATGAGATGATAAGCTTATTAAATTATATGTTCTCTTCAGCTTTTAGGAAGGAAGATACAAGTATTATGCCTCAACCAGAGCACATAATATATAGGGAAAATATTGATGTAAAAGATATCATTTTAAGTTCTGAAATTGTAAGAGAAAAGTTGATAAACCTAAAAATTGATAAATTCCCTGGCCCAGACAACTTTTATCCTAGAGTTTTAAAGGAACTTAAAGATTTTATTTGTGAACAACTAACTAATACTTTTTATAGGTCATTGGGTAGTGGAAGAGTATTAGAAGATTGGAAGTTGGCTAATGTTAGTCCAATATTTAAGAGAGGTGATAAACATTGTCCAGGCAATTATAAGTCAGCAATTGGAAAGGTTTTGAAGTGTGTGATTAAAGATGCAACGCAGAGTCACTTAAAGCAGTTTGATATAATGTCAAAGAGCCAGCATGGTTTCACTAAAGGAAAGTCTTACTTAACAAATCTTCTGATGTTCTTTAAGGATGTTACTGCAAGAGTTGATGAGGTAAATAATGTAGATTTGGTTTGCCTTGATAAGGTGCCTCACAAAAGACTTGTTACAAAAATTAAATCTGTGGAAGTGGGAAAAATGTTATCAAATTGGATAGAAAATTTACTGGAGAGTAGAAAGCAGAGAGTAGTAATAAATTAAGTTGGATCTGACTGGATCACAGTTATAAGTAGTGTGCCTCAGGGCTCTTTGCAGGGTCCTGCTGTTTGTGATTTATATTAATGATACTGACTCTGGAATGAATAACAAAATTTTTAAGTTTTCAGATGACATTAACTGTATCAAAGATGCTGCAGACTTACAGGGAGACTTGAATCATTTGATGCACTGGGCAATACGTGGCAGATGATGTTTAACTAAACAAAATGTAAGGTGATGCACGTAGGTTTTCACAATTCAAATTACTGTTACAATTTAAATGGGAATACATTAAATACTATGATTGAAGCAAAAGATCTTGGTGTTGTGATAGAAAAATCACTTAAGTCAGCAAAACAGCGTACTGTAGTTAGCAATACGGCTAATAGAATTTTGGGTAGCATCTATAGAAACATTGAATACAAGACAAGAGATATTATTGCTTCACTGTATAGATCACTTGTAATCTCTCATTTAGAGTATGTGTACAGTTTTGGGCATTGAATTGTTGGAAAAGGTTCAGAGAAGAGCCATTAGGATGATACCTGGGATGATGGGATTGTCCTATGAGAAGAAACTAAAATCTCTAAACTTGTTTTCTCTGGTGAGAAGAGTCAGAGAGATTTTAATTGGGGTGTTTAAGATCATTAAGAGTATTGACAATATAGATCCATCAC